TTTTGTTCATGCTGCGCCCCTGGCTCCTAGCTCAGGGCCTGGCATTCAGAAGATCGGGTGAATGAATCAATGAACAATGAACGACGTGCGAGGCTGCAGACGAGATGCCTTCTGGACCTAACGAGGAAGGATAAGGATGGCTGTTTCCCTGCACCAAATGGTCCTACAACGTGGTACTTTTTTGTTGTTGTTGTTGTTGTTGTTGTTGTAGTACGCGGGCCTCTCACTGTTGTGGCCTCTCCCGTTGCGGAGCACAGGCTCCGGACGCGCAGGCTCAGCGGCCATGGCTCACGGGCCCAGCCGCTCCGCGGCATGTGGGATCTTCCCGGACTGGGGCACGAACCCGTGTCCCCTGCATCGGCAGGCGGACTCTCAACCACTGCACCACCAGGGAAGCCCCAATGTGGTACTTTTTAAGACTGAAATCTTTCTGTTTTTATAGGTTTCTCTCCCTCCTCTTTACATTGAATTTATTAACAACATCTTCCCACCCCTTAATGTTTGCAATAAATTCGAAAACCAGAAGACCAAGCTCATTAGACTCAGGAAAGAAAACTCAAATGAGGATGTGGAAAGCTCTCTCAAGAGGCTAAATAAGCTCAATAAACAAGTTAGTAGATCAATATATATAAATATATTTTAATAAACACCGGTTAAGTGATACTGGGACAATTTCCAGACCGTATCCTCTATTCTTCCTCCCGCTCCCCAAAACAAAACAGTTTATGTATTCAAGCAAGTTTAAAGAGCTCGTCAGCAGGGTCCAACCGAAAGAATTCTCTTTTGTCCCGTATCCGTTCAGTGTTTTCCATCAAAGCCAGAGCAGCCTGAAGTCAGTTCCACAAACTCGAGGCATCAGGGTAGCTGGAATGAACTCAAGATACGTGCCACTGAAAACTAAATGAAACTCAATCTTCGTGTTCAGGTGAAGAGGACCCAGGAAAGACTTTCAATTTGTGTTATCCCCGAGGTGGGAGGAAGAACTGAGTGGTAAGCCCACCCAAAAGACAGATGTGAGAGATGGAAAAGATGGAGAGAGAGAGAGAGAGAGAGAGAGAGAGAGAGAGAGGGAGAGAGGATGGGAGCGGCAACGCCAGAGGCGGAACCTGAGTCTTAGGGTGAAAATAACAGCAGCTCATGTTTCTACCGTTTATTAAGCACTTAGTTTCTGGCAGGATGCTAAGAACTATATATGCCTTAGTTCATTTACGTGTCTCGACAGTCCTATGCAGTATTATCCCCATCCTACAGATAAAGCAACTCAGGAAGAAAGAAGTTAAATGACCTGCCCACGGTTACAGAGCTAATAAATAGATGAGCTGGATTTGACACCGGACAGTCTGAGTATAAAAAAATCTATGTCCTTATTACCAGGCAATATGCTAAACCAGGGGGTCGGCAAACTCTGGGCAAGAGCTGCAATCCTGCAGCCTTCTGTTTTTTGTAAATAAAGTTTTATTGGAACACAGCCACAACCACTCCTTTTCATACTGTCTATGACTGCTGTCATTCCTGCTACAATGGCAGAGTTGAGTGGTTGTGAGAGACCATCTGGGCCACAAAACTGAAAACAGTTATTATCTGGCCCTTTACAGAAAAAGTATGCCAACCCCTATGCTGAACAGTAGTGATTCTCAGCATTTCTACCCAAGTACTCCTAGTGGTCAAGTAAATCCTGGGACAGCCCAGAATGACGGGGTACAGAGCCTAATGCAGCAAGGAGCCTATCCTGAAATGTCTCCAAATCTCAAGGCTTTTCAAAAACAATTAGGCAAATTTTGCAGTCCATGCCATAATATTTGTTCTAATGTAATATATGTTTTAAACAAACAACCATCAAGTCACAGTCGGCTTCCTGCAAGATATGTCACAGAAATCCTACGGCCCAGCACACTGCTAGGCACAAACGCTCACACACCTGAGGGAGGTGGCCCAGCCCAGCAGCCCTCATGGAGCTACAGGCTCAGGCCTTCCGGCCAGGGCTCAGGTCTGCACCTCGGCCCACCGCTGTCTGGCTGTGGCTCCTGCGCAAGTCCTTTACGCTCTCCCAGCCTTCCTTTCCTAACTTTCAAATGGGGATAATCCCCCCACCCCACAGGGCCGTTGGGACAGTTACAGGTCAAAAGGCACATGAAAGGTCTGGGCAAACAGCGATCTCTGAATCTGAACATATGCCAACTTAGTTGGAATGGAGACCTGCGACATCAATAAATCCTCCTTTTTGCTTCTAAAACACATCTATCAATAAAGGAAATGGGGTGGTCTTTTTATTTTTTTTAATTTTTTATTGAAGTATAGTTGACTTATAATGTTGTGTTAGTTTCTGGTATACAGCAAAGTGATTCAGTTTTATATATATGTAAATATATATATTCCTTTTCATATTCTTTTCCATTATGGTTTATTACAAGATATTGGATACAGTTCCCTGTGTTATACAATAGGACCTTGTTGTTTATCCATCCTATATACAATAGTTTGCATCTACTAGTCCAAACTACCAATCCAACCCTCCCCTGCCCCCCCCTTCCCCTTGGCAACCACGAGTCTCTTCTCTATGTCTGTGAGTCTGTTTCTGTTTCATAGAGCTCCTTTGTGTCATAGTTTAGATTCCACATATAAGTGATACCATATGGTATTTGTCTTTCTCTTTCTGACTTACTTTGCTTAGTATGATAATCTCTAGGTCCATCCATGTGGCTGCAAATGGCATTATTTCATTCTTTTTTATGGCTGAGTAGTATTCCATTGTTTATATACCACATCTTCTTTATCCATTCGTCTGTTGATGGACATTTAGGTTGCTTCCATGTCTTGGCTACTGTAAATAGAGCTGCAATGAACACAGGGGTGCACGTATCTTCTGGAAGTATAGTTTTGTCCGGATATGTGCCCAGGAGTGGGATTGCTGGCTCATATGATGACTCTATTTTGAAGTTTTTGAGGAACCTCCACACTGTTTTTCATAGTGGCTGCACCAATTTACATTCGGGGTGGTCTTTTTTTTTTTTTTTTTTTTGCGGTACACGGGCCTCTCACTGTCGTGGCCTCTCCCGTTGCGGAGCACAGGCTCCGGACGCGCAGGCTCAGCGGCCATGGCTCACGGACCCAGCCGCTCCGCGGCACGCGGGATCTTCCCGGACCGGGGCACGAACCCGTGTCTCCTGCATCGGAAGGCGTACTCTCAACCACTGCGCCACCAGGGAAGCCCCGGGGTGGGCTTTTTAAAGGAGAAAAACTTTTTTTGGTTTTTTTTAAAAATCAGAGAATCGGCGAGCTCCCCCACAAACCAGCCCAGCACGGCTCTCTCTGGCGCTAACCCTGCCCTTCTGCCGCTCCCTAAGAACACTGACAATAAGATCAGAAAGACTGCCTCTAGTCATTCCATACGCTCGTTTATATTTCCTGAAGGGAAAAGCACCTTAAATTGTTTTTTTTTTTCAAATAATAACACTCTACAAACAATAAGGAGGCCTGAAAATCTTTACGTCTGCTGCCAATTAGAAAGGACAGTTAGCGACCTCAGCTACCAAAAATCTCTAATTTACAACTAATCTGATTCTGCAAATTACATTTTCTACTACAGACCACCTAAAAACAACTTCCTGTAAACAAACCACTCTGCTGGGTTGTTTTTTTTTTTTAATATAATTAAATCCTTATTTTGCTCTTTAACTACACGAAGCTCACTCTTTTGCTACATGGGGCAGAACTGTTTATTTTCAAAAGATGTAGAAATAATCCCCAAGTGGGAGCTCAAATCGGAGCCCAGAGGAATCCTACACTCCAAGTCAATGATGAGCTGCCCTTGCCCAGGACTGTGTGTCTGTCTGTCTGTTCTGCCTTCCGCAGGCCACTTCAGGTAACACTACACTTACTGGCCTGTGCTGGCTCCTGACCCCAGTGGCCGAGTTAAATCAGGAAGGCAGATTGTAAATAGGCATGAAGTAAGTGTTCTGGAACATGCAGGAAGGAATACTTAAATCTGCCTGGAGGTGGTCAAAGGTTTCATGCCTTTTGGAGTTGGAGGCCAAGCGTCTCGACTTCTCCCAACTCCCATTTATTTAGGGTGAGCAACTTATTCTCGTTTGCAAGTCCCGAGCTCCTGGAAACCCCTCAGGCCTAGGCAAACCAGGACAGTCGGTCGCCCTGCCTTTATCCAGCCTAGTTCTTCTCCTTACCATCAGGAATCCATCAATAATATTTCTTGTTTGCCTGCTGTGTGTTACCTTCCATCTGTGCCCACCCCCTATCCCCAACCACTGCACTTTGGAACCAGTAGTCATCAACCTTTCACTGTAACGGCCCCTCCACCCAGATTCCTCCATCCTGGAAACGTCCTGGTTACGCCAATGTCCCACGAAGAAGAAAGGACCATCACCCTGGCTGCAGAAGGTATGTGGACTTAGGGCAAATCACATCCCACTCTGCTAGCAACTCAGCTCAAGGAAGACAATACGAAGTGGAGAAAAATGGAAATAGCAAATACAAATTCCATCTATCAAATCTCCTATTTATTTTATGCAAAGTTTTCCTGCTGCTTATTAATGCCAGCTTTCCCTCTACCATTTAATCTCTGCTTCCATTTCATTCTTGGAGGCCTGCGATTATTCTAATTCAGCATTCGGATGACTTCATTTCCGCTCAAGTACACCCAGGTCAACTTGGATAGAAAAGAAAGAGGAGGAGAAGAAAAATAATCAGCTAAAAGCTATTAAATATCAACCGTGTGCCTCATGATTGGTTTGAAAGGCAGTGGTGAGGTTAGCAACAGTCAGAAACTCAACCCTTCTGCCTCTTCCTGCATATTAACATTTCTTCTGGGGCTCTCACTCTTATGGCTTCGAATGTAAATAAAGTACCGACTGGCAGCCCACTTTCGGCTAATTCACAAATACCAAGTCTGAAATATACAGAGCTGGAAAAATTTACAGGGTGGTAACTTGACAAATCCTGCTGCTCTACAGAGAGCCTGATTCTCAGAGGACAAAGGAAGCTGGAAAAAAAAAAAAAAGAAGAGAAAGAAAGAAAAAAGAAAAGCATATGCGACCCATGTAATGGGGTATCCTATTGATGGGCTGGGGGGATGGGCAGGAATCTCCATATCAATGTTCACGCCACAAAACAATGGAATCCGATTTCTATGCCAAGTCTAAATGAACTGAGCTTTCTCCTCCATAAGAACCACTCCTTGCACCCACTGGCACAAGCCTGAACCGTGATTTCTCAGACACTTTCAGTTCCCACTGAAGTACATCCAGGGGTAGAAAGGCTTTCTTTCTCATGCTAACAACTCCATTGTAAGTGACGTCCTCAGAGCCTGCCAGGAGGGCTCTGGGAAGGTAAGCTGGTGGAGCCCTTAAACCCCTTCTCCCTCTGCCTCCCCAGGCTCATTAACTCCTTCCTGCCCAAGGGCTCTCCTGTCCCGGGTCTTTCTCCTCATGGCCCCCTACAAAAATTAAATAAAGCTAAACCATACTGGGAAACACAGTTAAACAGCAGAGCCAGAAAGTTCGAGCCTTGTTCCCCTAACCTTGCTATGCATACGCATGTGTGATTAGCATAATCTCAAACTTTTCCCAGCTTGCTACCCAGAAGGCATCCTATTCTTCTGTTTGTATATTTTAAAACACTGTTAACAGAGCAATAATAATGTCTGATGCATTTGCCTAACAACAGCTGGCTATATTTTATACACTAAAAGGGAAATGGGCAGTTTTCCTAGAAACCCACTCGTCTATTTCAGGAACTCCTTTTTGAAGCAGAATAAAAATAGAGGATTTAGGAGAAGTGAGGTTGAGGTGTTCAATCTGTTTCGAACGCAGCTCTCCCCACCGGCTGCAGCAGAGACGGAGGGAAAAGTTCATCAGGAAGACACAAAGTCCTCTGGCAAGAGGGTTTACCTGCAAAGCCCAAGGCTCATATTACTTGTGGGTCCTGCTCGCTTGTTTGCCACCACCTGGCCCAGGAGGCCGAGGCAGGCAGATGAGGCAGGAGTCTCCTGTTTGCTGAGACTTTTTGCCCTCAGCAGCTCTGCCAGGGGTCACAGGGCAAATCAAGTCCCCTCCCCCGTATGAAAGCTTCCAAAGGGAGAGACTGACACAAACCAGGCAGATTTAATCAAACACCAGGACAGTGTTGGCCTTGTTCTGGGCTATTTTACAGGAAGAAAGTTTAAACCTGCAGGTAGCCTTCAGCGTGACCGGCCAGGGAGGGGAGAGCCAATGGTCCTTCCTGGTCCACTCTAGAGTTCTCAGTCAAGGTCTGAGGAACGTCACGGCCCTCCAGAGCAAAGGCCAGCAGGTGACAGGCGAGGCCCGGGCACACCGACCGCTTTCCAGTGAGTCCGCCTATACAAACCACTTCAGAAGATGCAGGCCTCGTGGGAGCTGTGAGGCCCACGAAGGACAGGCAGGACTTTTGTACTCCAGGCCTGGTCGGAAAGAACCGCACACCTCATGGAGCTCTGTTTATCTGCAATTTGCATTAGGAAGCAATAAAATCAGAGTCCACTCTCAGGAATACGGTTAACTTGCTTATTCATTTTCTCACAAATCTCCTGCCTTTCACATTTCAAAGGCTTTATGATATTTTTATTCTAGATGTTTCTCTCCTCACACATACAGCATCAAAAGGGGCATCTGAGCGGTGGCCGGGGGTGCCAGCATCGTACCTGCACATAAAGCCTGGAGCTAAAACGTAACAGGCAGCCAACACTCCCTCAGTGGGCCCTCTCCCAAGTGCAATCAATGAGATCTCATTATATTAAAAAGCCAATTCATTCTTGTTTTCCATTTTTTTCCCCCAAAAGCTTTCAAGCACCATTCTCTGTAGCTCAAGTTAACTTTTATAGCCCACACACAACCCCAACCCAACAAAAGGACTCGAAGGCCCCTTTTCGCCCCATTTCCACGGGGCTCCCCTAAAGAGCTGGAACTTTCCAAACCACCACCTCCTCCTTTAGGGCCTTGGCTTCCCGTCCACCACAGTGAGGGGCTGGCCCAGGAAAGGGTTAAAGCCCTCACGTCAAACCGCAAACTCGGGCACTGGCCCAGAAGGGACATGGGAACCAGGGCAGCCGAGTGATAAAGGCCGGATTGTAGCAGCCCACTGAATTGGAAATGACTTGTAGGCCTAATGAAACAGAACTTTGGCAGTAAAACAGAATGAAAGGAATGAGACAATAAAAGGCTGGAACAAAGGGTGCAGAGTCGGTTCAGCTTAGCAAAATAAGCTCACTTTGTTGGTGGGGAAAGCCAAAGCCGATTAGGGTAAACCAATGACTAAGCGTAAGTCTTCCAAACTAATTACACAGTTCACCATGTGAAGTATAATTGGGAGCCTCCAGATGCGGCCCGCTCTGCTTTCACAGGAGTTATATAAAGTGAGAATTACCTAGCGAGCTCGGCACCGAGCAGCCCTCTCATCGAGGTGAACAGCTGAAAGGTGCAGAACTGCTCCATCCGGGACGAAGCCGAGAATTCATTAATTTAAAGGCCTCTTTTTGATCTCGCAAATCCTATAAGTGAGAATTTAAGAAGGAGGGGCCTACAGGGAGAAGGGAGGAAGCCCTGGCACTTGGAGTTGCTTTGATCCCAGGGCTTTTTAATTACCACGCTGGGCTCGTCCGGATGGCCGTGCAGGGGGAACGGAGCAGGACAGCCCGATGGACGGCCTCGGTCTGTATGTGCGCATCTAGAGCCCTGTTTACGTGCCATTTTTCGGAACGGTCTGTATACATCATTCCTGTAGGCATGAAATCGTCAGCACAGATAACGTCCACTAGGAAACCTGAAGCAGTAAAATAAATTGCCATAGATCAACGTTCTCGACAAATGAACCAAACCTGCTCCCTCTGAGGATGGGGCTGCTCAGTGGTAAAGTGGGAGATGGGGTTTTATAAATGCTGAAAATGAGTGACTCTCCAGGTTACATGATCTTGGACAACTTACTGACCTTTCTCAACATGAGTTTCGTCCTCTCCTAACAAATATTTCACCTACCTCACTTGACATCCCTGAGAACCAAATTTTTAAGTGCATTAAGAAGCTTAGCACAAAGCACACGAGCCTCTAATTCAGAAACATCAGAACACCGTAAGAGAAGTTCATGCTAAAATCCGAACTTCACAAATTCTGCGTCTTCACTGAGATCTAGCACATGTAATAGGAAACTGGAAATACTTTATACTCATAGGGTGAAGATTACAGTTTATAAATGGTAGCTTTTTCCCAGTAGAGAGTCTTTCATTGCCCTTTGACCTTGAAGTGCAGAAATTAACTCTACCACAGTTACGACTGTTTTATTTGTTACATCATGCTCATGACTACCAATGACATCTTGTCTTGGTTACAGTCTGTAGGTACCGTAGATACCTACCTATCCATCCACCTATGTATGTTTATTTAAACACTTTCTAAATTATTCCATTTTCAAGCTTGAAACCAACCACAGGAATAATCTAGTACAGAGGTTGGCAAACCACAGCCCATGGGACAAATGGGGTCCCAAACCTGTTTCCATAAAGTTTTATTGGAACTCAGCCACACCCAATGGTTTATGTGTTGGCTGCATCTGCCTTCTCCACGTGACAGAAATGAGTAGTTGTGACAGAGCGAAAAATATTTACTATCTAACCCAAGCTTTCCACGCCCTTCCCTCAGGTGAGAAACCGAGGCCAGGAAAGAAGTGGCCTGTTAAGGTGCCTGCCTCGGTGGTATCACCATGCGGTCATTGCCCAGTACGAGGGTCTGGGACACCTCCTCTTACCTTCCTCCAACGAGGGCAACAGAACAGCTACCCAGGGGTGAGGACGGCACCCAAGTCAGCAGAGTCCTTACGCCGATGGCCGCACTTCATGATCTCATCTTAAATATAAACAAGTAATGACATCCCTAACCCGGGGATCAGGGGGAGGGGGGGTAAATCTTCTGGGAGGAAGGTGGGAGAAAAGCAAAAAAGGGTTTACAAGCCTCCAACTTGAGTCATTTCAAGCTCTCAATGTGCCATCCTGCACCCACTCCTCTTACAGTAATGACATGTTTAGACTCCCTTAGCTCAGAGCCCCAAGACATCGATCTTACCCATCTTGATTGCCACCTGAAATAAACAGCCGGGACAGCTGCCACCTCAGGCAAGACGGGAAGAGGAAGAGGAAAGAAGCATGACAACGAGGGAAACCTAAAAAGAAGGTGGCAAACTCTGATGGAGCCTGTGGAAAGATGGACAGTTCTAGACTTGGAGGAGGTAGGGTGTGAATTCTGGCTGTTATACTGCCTTACCTGGGTGACCTTTGCTGAGACTTCACCTCCCTGACCTGTATCGTCCACCTTTGTCAAATGGGCTGGATGACACCAAAATCCGCTGTGCAGAAGCAATGAGGCCATGTAGGCCCAGGTTCCTGGCACTGTCCCTGGGCACCCAGAGGGGACACCATTTTTCCTTCTCTTTTGCACCCTCCCCACCCTAAGTCTATCTTGGGGGTTGATCAGCAGCTGGAACGGGCCCAGGGTTTGGGTTCTATTATCAGACAAGCCTAGAGGAGAAGTCTGTGAGCTTTCATAAGGCTGCGACCTTGAGTCAAAGGTGCAGTCCCACCAAGACTCCATGTAGCAATCTACAAAATGGGCAGTACACCCACCAGCATCCCAGAGAAGAATTGAGTGAGATAACATAAGTCAAGGGCCGGGCCCGTATCCAACACTTAACACGTACTCACTAAATTACTCACTGAATTATACCTTACTATGTGCAGTTAACCAACTGAAAAGAGCCCCTAACAGCTTGACACAGTCGGGAGTGCGTGCCTATGCGTGAGTAGACTTTATGCAAGCGTGTGTGCGTGTGTTTTCCATCTCCTTCAATCAGTTTGTCAATTTACTGTTACTCCTTTCACAGCCACTGGATTTACTCAGCACCCCTGAGGCCCAGTGGCAGGGTCTCCCCTCCTTTGACCATTCTGGAGTCAAATGAATTACACCAGAATCCCGGGAGGCGGTGGGCTCTTCCCAAGGGAACACAAGGGAACACACATCACACCAGCCGCCGGACGAACGAGGAATAAGCTATTCTGAAGACAGACCCAGATAACACACAGAGCATATGTATGCAACAGGCCACTAACACGTGACTATACAGAGTGTGAGGGTTGTGAGACATTCAACGGCCTCCTTAGTCCTTGAATAAAACACTTGATAGGTTTACGCATGCTGCAGGAGTCCGCCGACGTTACTGCAAAATTAACTGAGCGGCTTCAGACCCGGCGAGTGCCAAGCCAGGGAAGAGTCTGTGGCCGCCTCCCAGTCAAGAGGACGGCTGTTCCCAGGGCAGGGATGGTCACTGCTGTGGGCTCGCACTCCCCCCACCAACTGCCGGTGGACTGAGTCCCAACGCTAAGTGTTAAGGAAGAACAATGGAAAGACAAAGAGAGAGAAAGGAGAGAGAGAGGGAGAGACCCAGAGCTGGGCATGTGCGGAGATGTGGTGAGTATGAGCCTGTGTGGAAAATTCTAACAGCCCATCTGGGCAGCATCAACTTCCCCGACACCCGCAAATAGGCCCATGAGATTCCAAGGCAGGTTACGGCTCGAAAAAGAAATCCCACCTCATGTTTGCAAACACTACCTCCGGCCTGGTTTTAAAGGCAGAACGGCAGTAAAGAGGGTTCGCACTCCAGAGCCTTCCATTACGCAAGCTGGATTTGTCTCATTAAGTTATTTCCGGTCTCTCTCCCTAGGCAGGGTGGGGCTGGGGGATGGATCAATCCCCCTTTAATGCTGTAAATCAGTCTCGAAGAGAAGCGCCATAGTGTACACAACCACCAACACACCCAGTTATTTTTTAGAATCTGCCAGAATGAATCAGCCCCCAACCGGCAATGCCAGACAGTGCCGTGGGGAAGGAGTCTTTCATAACCGACCCAGAAGGGCAGCTGAGTGCCATTCCAAAAGCAAGGCTGGGCTGGAGGAGGCTGGGTTCTCTGAAGCATGGTCTCCCATCCATGCAGAAGTTGATTAATACCAGAGACAGGAAAATCTCTATTTTGAGGCTAAACAGAAGTCACAGCACTCATCCCAGAGGGCAGTTCACAACTGGACACTCCTGGAGATGGGATCATAGCTGCCCATTGCCTTGGGCAAACAAATGAAAGCACAGAACTTTCAGACTGGCCAGTGGGCGGCAATGCCTTTGTACCACCCAGGGCAAGTGTGACAGGTGTCCTGGGGCAGGTGAGTGGCAGGGCTTAGAACAGCCGCGGGGTTTTCTCAGGATGCCTCGGCAGCCCTCTGCCACATCAGTCCTTCGGTGGAGGCGGGAGACACATGACGAGACACACAGAAGAAAACGATCCCACACCTGTGCTCCCAGGACAATGTCCACAACTGCTCAAAGATGCAGGAGGCGTAGGCCCTGTGCACACACTCACCTGCCAGCCTCCTGGGACACAGGAGCCGGAGGAGGGGCACCACACAAACGCCAGCAAGGCTCAGCGCCCAGCAAGCTGCCCTGCTGGAGCCCTGGGGCGACAGAGTCATTGGAGGAACGTGTCACCCTGGGGCAGAACCCACTCTCCAAGGCAGTGGGTCCCCCCCCACCAACTAGAAAAGGGCTGAATTAATCATCCATGGTTACGTGCCCTGTCTGTCTGTGTGACTCTGTCTGTCACACACACACTCCCACACTCCACTTCCTGACTCATCTGGGGCATTCTGAGTTGCTCCCAGCCCGTTCCCGCAGCAGAGCCCAGGGGATAATTGTACTGCTGTCTCACCGACATTCTGACAGGTACGAGCCCAGCATCTTTCCTGAGTTTCCTCGGGCGTTGGACAGGGGAGGGTTCAGCCGCAAGGGCCCCAGGGAGCCTCCTCTCTCAATGCATTTTCCAGAAGGGCACAGAATGAAGCCCAGTGCCAACTCTCAGGCCAGCTTCTGCAGGAGCTCCTGCCCTGTGACTCACAGCCCTGAATCCCTCACCAGGAGCTGCCACCATCAGCTCCCGGCCCAGGCCCCACGTGGCCGGCAAATGCCAGTGACTCTGCACTCAAAGGCCACTCTGTCTGCTCCTGCAGGCACGTGGGATGCCGTGCCCACCACAAGCCGGACTCTTCCATCTCAGCTCCTGCCAAATTTCATTTACATCTTGACGGCCGAGTCCAAGGACAAGGTTCTTGAGGACACAGCTGTGGCAAAGGCAGGGGCCACGGCAGCCACCTCGAAGGACTGAGCAGGCTGCCCCACCTCAATGCGCCGCTTACCTTGCCAAACTGCTCGAAATACTGCTTCACATCTTCCACCACCGTGTTCGCAGATAATCCGCCTACAAAGATTTTCTTTGTTCTTGTGACCATCTGCAAGAAATGACAAGAGGAAGACATGGGTTAACTAGGTTATCTGAAGCCACACTCACCGAGATGCCGAGCAAGCCACCCTCCACACTTCTCTAGAGAGGAAGGCGATGTTAGGAGTACGCCAGCCGCACCAAGCGGGCCCTGTGGACGTCTCAGGATACCGGAGACCATCACTCGGGGCACCTTAGGCCTTCAGGCCGCAACCTGAAAGCTCGAGTTTCGTACAGATGGAGAGTGAACCTCTTCGGCTATAACACAGGGCCTCACTGTGATGTTAATTCACGCGTCAAAGCTATTTAAACCTAAGAGACATGAACAAAAGAGAACTACGTGCATAAAGGTCTGCTGCTCTGAAAGTACCCATAAAGTGTGTCCATAAGAAACTCACACATAATTCAAACCCACGTGCAGACTGCCTACACCGAGCCGTCCTGGGTGCTGGCTTATGTCTGCCAACAGGACAGACAGGACCTCATACACTGGGACCGCCCTCCAAGCCCGGCCCCCAGGGCTCCTTCCCCTCTGGATTTCTCACCATTCACCTTGATTTGTCCTACACTCAGCCAAGCGCAGCTGGTCCCCAGGCCTCCACACCTCTGTCCACGCAGGTCCTGCTCCTTGGGAGACCTCTCCACTCCTGCACCTCCCTTGCCAAGTTCTGACTTTCCTCCGAGATCCAGTGCCCTTCTCCCAAATTCAAAATACCTGTATAGTCGCCCCACCCAGAAGCTGTTTCCCCTGCTTCCGAACCCCAGATGCTGCGCCCCTCTGCCTCTCACACACTCACTACTTTTCACCTCGAACTGAAGTGAGTGATAATCCTGCCTTCGTTCTAACCTCCTCCCCCAGACCGTGGGCTCCTGACTCCCCTCGGTACCCGCCGGGGTGCAAATACAGGGCCAGGCACACAGAAGTCCACAGCCAAAGTCTGGTGGATGCAAAAACAAACGAATTTCTGCAGTGGCCACATTTCAGAATCCCACCAGCCCTAAAGCAAAGGGAGGAGGGAACTCGATGAGTGGGACCAATAATCTTACACTGAAGAGTGAAAGACAATAAAATACAATAAATTTTATTCTGAAGGCTAAGTTAGGCTGTGTGGGGTTTGCGGTTGTTTTTTTCTTTTTCTTTTTTTGTTCTTCTTTAATGTCAAATAAAAAATTTTAAAACTCAGTGGATACAGGGTCTCACCAGTTTGGTTGCATATAATAAAAGCACAACGTCTTAACTCAATGGCTAGATCTTGTCACAATATATAATACATACATACCTCAAATCATCACATTGTATGCTTTAAATATCTTACCATTTTATTTGTTAATTACACCCCAATAAAGCTCTGGGAAAAAATGTTTGATGAGAACATACGAAGAAAAGCAAGACTACAACCCAAAAATAAATGAATGAGAGGAATCTGAAAACATTAAAAAAAAAAAAAAAGAAACAGCCACAATGTCACACATGTCTATTGTAAGTCGACGCAGGGGGTACTTCCCTGGTGGTGCAGTGGTTGGGAATATGCCTGCCAATGCAGGGGACACGGGTTCGAGCCCTGGTCTGGGAAGATCCCACATGCCGCGGACCAACTAAGCCCGCGAGCCACAACTACTGAGCCCGCGTGCTGCATCTGTCGAAGCTTGCGCGCCTAGAGCCCCATGCTCAGCAACAAGAGAAGCCACCGCAGTGAGAAGCCTGCACACCACATCGAAGAGCAGCCCCTGCTCAGTGCAACTAGAGAAAGCCCACACGCAGCAACAAACACCCAACGCAGCCAAAAATAAAAATAAATAAATAAATTTATTTTTTTAAAAAAAAAGTCGATGTAGGTTGCCTAAGTATGGGGGCCGTGGCTGCCTGGATCACGTATCACCGAGTCTCCTGACACATGTGTGGAGAGAATGAACCAACCAACCCATTCCCAACAGTAGAGACTCAGTGGAGTGACACCTAAGGGCACAGCGGTCCCAGGCAGGCTGTTCTAAGGAGTGTGAAAGGCTCTGGAAATCTGGCTTCTGTGTCTAAGTCTGGATGTGACCCTGGATAGGACTCGTCTGAGGGCTGGCTTCTGTGCTCTGCATGTGAAGTCCTGGACCAGAGCTCCCTGCCCCGCCTAACCCTGAACTCCCCCGAATCTGTGAGCATGGTGGGCCTGACAGGGAGGCTCCCAGACCTCAGGGACCTCACACTTTAACTCAGCAGTTCCCAGAGGGGACACATGCCACCTCAGCCCCCTGACTGACCCCCGACCTGGAATACCTTTGTAGTGGACATTCTGTGCTGTCTCAGGAGGACACTGTCCTGGTGACTCTCGTACATCTCACTGGCCACCATGCAGTGGTTTGCATGTGTGTTTAAAACTGTTATTTACTATTTTTTCATCTCTTTTCAGATGAATGAGAAATTTGATGAGATAATGTACGTGAGGACATTCTATGAAGATCCCACCAGCGTCCACACCTCCGAGCTCCAAGAACCTCTGGTTAACTGGTGGGCATCTTATCCAGCTCCTTGTTCATCTCCCTCCTTATCTGTCTCCCTGCTTATCCCTCAGTCTCCCTGGTGGATCAAGGTCACCTTCATGGTGACGCTCTATCAGGCCCTCTCCAGATTTAAATCTCTCCCTACACTCACTAATCGCCAATTTTTACTCATCTAACTTTCCTAACGCATTCATTCGACAAATAGATTAAGTGCGAGGTGCTGGAACTCACATTCAAATACAGTGTGGAAGTTAATCCCCTTTAAGATGGAGATATAATAATTAGCCTACCACACAAGGTTCCTGCTGCAACTAAATTAAATAACACATGCCCAGGGCTTCCCTGGTGGTGCAATGGTTGAGAATCTGCCTGCCAATGCAGGGGACAAGGGTTCAAGCCCTGGTCCAGGAAGATCCCACATGCCACAGAGCAACAAAGCCCGTGCGCCACAACTACTGAGCCTGTGCTCTAGAGCCCGTGAGCCACAACTACTGAGCCTGCATGCTGTAACTACTGAAGCCCGCGCGCCTAGAGCCCGTGCTCCGCAACAAGAGAAGCCACAGCAATGAGAAGCCCACGCACCGCAACGAAGAGTAGCCCCCGCTCTCCACAAGTAGAGAAAGCCCGCGCGCGGCAACACCAAAAATAAGTAAATAAATTTAGAAATAACATATGCCCAAGTGCCTGGCGGGACAGCGCGTAGACGATAAATAAAAGGTCACCAGCTGAATCCAAAGTCAGCTACTAAATCCATCCTTCAAGCTCAGAAGAAACATGCAGCAGAAAGATACCTTCTACCAAACACTTTGATAAATCAACTCTTATTGCCCATTCTCTTCCACTATCATTTCAAAAACACTTTCCTACATCTCTACGTGATTTCAGATGGGCAAAGACTCCCAATAGCTTCATTTTAGATTTTTCATTCCTTTTTTTAACCCCAGCCAAGCAATTAAATATCTATAAAGAAACACTAATGTGATCTACAAACATGCACTCGTGGAGCTTGCAACTTAAAGAAACTCTGGAGAGGTATTCCATAAAATGAACCCCACGGTCTCATTCAGACATTGTGTAGAGCCAGGTGGGTATAGACAGCAGGCCCTATATATATTCCAAACGTTCCCATGGACGCAGAGAATTAAACGGCCAACGTGTCTTCATTCCAAATAACAGAAGTCAACAGAACGTTCATTCCCCAGTAACTGGTAAAAAGAGAAGGTCCCCTCTTACACCCTCCACCGTTGCCCTACAGCCGTAAACCTGCCAAGACAGAGCCCTAAATGCTGGGGAAGACATCCAGCTATAAATCTACACAGTCCCAAAACAGTCTTTAAAACACTTCTTTTAAAACAAGGATGAGAAATTCCAGGCCCCAGACAATGTGGCCAAAGTGTCCAAGTTACTAAAACATCCTCTCCAGGAACCAGCTCAGATATAGAGATAGATCCCCACTCTTCAGCAAACACTAAAAGGAGGCTGGTTTAATCAAAACCTTCCAAACGTGAAGAGGCCAGTGGGAAGATGGGCAACACTTGGTTAGCTGCTCACTGACGTCTCAGCTTCAGGAGACGACAGCATGGCTGGGGGGTGATGGGGCTCTGCAGGTGACCCCTCCCGCCAGGGGCGCTGGGGAAAATGGGAGTGAGTTACTTTGGGAATTCTGATGGCATCACTGCTAAATGGGCTGTGCACTGCTCCATGATTTGCATTCTGGAGAGGGACGCAGGGGGCAGGCAGAGGGTGCTAGAATCACACACTCTTCCCTCCGTTTCCCTCCCACCTCCATGGCTCCTTAGGACAGCAGGAAGGGGCCAGCGTGGGGACGTGGTGTCCAAGGTCTCAGTGGACTAAACGGAGGTCCTCAAATTCCCATCAATACTGTCAAGGTTTCATTTCTGTATACATGTGTGCGTGTGTGTGTGTGTATTGGGGGGTACCTCTCTATTCCCAATCCTTGAGTCTTGGCTTCTATGTGCCCCAGGAACCATAAAGCACCCCAGACCTTTAACCCTCTCTGACCCTGGAAACAGCAAGCAGGACCACTTACACACTGGCCCCCGACTCTATGGCCCTCTGTGTTATAAAAAGTCCTCTCTGCCCACAGTGGAGAGAGCCACCTGTGTCTTCTTCCTGTGCTAGGCCCTTCGGGTAACTGTTTCCCAACCCACAGCCTTCACACCGACACACAGCTACTGCACACCAAAAGGCTCAGGGCCTCCACAGTACACTTAGATGGAGAGAGCCACCCATATGCTCCAGAGAGAACTCAGTCCGAAATCCACAAGGAAATGGGTCTGAAACATCCTTGGCTTGGAGTTTTTGGTGGAAGGTTGCACCCAGAGCGAGGGCCCTACACCCTTGGGGACAGCCCCTCCCCTAGCAGATGCCTCCTTTTATGGTCTAGGGCGGCATTCTGGGAAGGCGTGTGTGTGTGTGTGTGTAGCACGCATAGGGGCATGGGGAGGGTTTGGGCTGTCACAAATCACTGCTGCAAAGTTTTGTATCTGGACCCGTAAT